AGGGATTATGATGGTCCATGGGATTTAACCATGTTCCAAAGAGAGGTGAAGATAGGTGAAGGCCACAAACTATGATTTGCGATAGGAGAAGGACTGTTGGAGGGTGGGGAGTAGAGCAAAGGGGAACTGGAAGAATTCCTGAGGGGCGGGGATTGAAGGTGAGAGTCTGGAACTGCGGTGGGTAAGGTTTTGGTATAGCCAGGAAATTGGGTGGCTAAGGTGGAGCTAAGTGAAGATGCCTGGAGGTAAGGATGTTAACAGACAGAGAGGAAAAGGATTTTGTGTGGGTTGTCCTGGAGGATGTTGAAGTCCCAGAAGCTTCGAGTGGAGAAGAGGTTGTGAGCAAGAAGCTTTAGTCTATTGGGTGAATAGGGGACAAGGAGTGGGAGATCTTTGGATCAGTGGTTCTCATCCATGGCTGCAACTTAAAATCATCCGAGGAGCAAACGAGCCATGGAAAGGCCCTACACTCACCGTGAGATTCAAGCCACGCAGCGGTCTCCAACCTTTTAGGCACCAGGGACAGGTTTCATGGAAGACAATTTTTCCACAGGCTTGGGGGTCGGGGAGTTGGCGGAGCTCAGGTGGTGATGCGAGCGATGGGGAGTGGCTGTGAATACAGAACACCTTGCTTGCCCCCCGCTCATCTCCTGCTGTGTGTGCCCCCCTACTCTCCACCCCCTGTTCTTAAGTGTCATGGAAGACAGTTTTTCCATGGACCGGGGGTGGGGGGTACGGCAGAGCTTTGTGGCCCGGTTCCTAATAGGCCACAGACTAGTATCAGTCCACGGCCCCGGAGTTGGGGAGTGCAGATTTAAGGGATCTGGGGTGGGCTCTGAAGCTAAGAGTTTTTAAAAAGCTTCCCCCAGGCTTCCAGTGCAGCCAAGGGTCACAGCCACTGCTGGGTGACGGTGAAGGGGTTGAGGTGGGGAGATGTCTAGTATAGCTGAGTGGTGTGAATTTCAAAGTCTCTGGGCTTTTTGGAATAGAAACGAGAGAAGGTTTGGAAATAGTAGTGGAAGCAAGGAATAATTTTCTCCATCTCCTGGCACAGGGACTCCTGGAAGTTCAGGCAGGTGGCTGAAGTTCTTGAACTTCGAAGTTGAATTCCAACATTGGTGTAAGAGTTTGCTGCTGAAAGCAGGATGGAGGCTGGAGGAGTTGGTGGCAGAGAAGCAAGCATGTGCCAGGAAACTGATCTGTCAGTGGATGCAGTGAGTTCTATCCACTCACTTCCCGTGACCTCAAATAGGAAACAAAATAAGAAAAAGACCAATGACAGATTTGGGTATTAATAGAATCACCACACAAGCAGCCTACATGGAAAAAGGATTGGGGGTGTGCTTTAGAAAAAAGAGCACTTTGCTGTAGGAAGTTTCTCCTAGTTCAATGTCTTTCAAAGTGGCGTGGTTATTAAAATGCTGATTTGGGGGACCCTGCTCTGGATTTACCAAATTGGTCTCTAGAGGTGTCAACCTGAGGGAGTGTGCATTTTTACAAGCACCCTGGGGTGATTCTTAGCTTTGAGACCTGAGAAAGCGGTGTTTCAGTCTTGGCAGTGGTTAGAATCACCTGGGAACCTTCAGCAGTACTAGAGTTTGAGCACAGCTTCAGGCCAACCAAGTCGATTGGGAGGGAACCTGGGTCTGGGGGGCTTTCAGTTCCCCACATGACCTAATGTGCTGCTAAGGTGTCAAACCCATTGCCTACGCTCTGATTCTTGCAAGAGAATCAACCAACTGGCCAAGATGGGCAAGTATCCTATTTTTTCCTCGAGGGCTTGAAATACCACATATGTCTTTAATCCAGACTTCTCTCCTCAACAACAGACTTGCCTATCCACCCATTTTCTCACTGTCTTGTCTCGGATGTTGTCCCAGTTTGTTTGCATTACTATACAGGAATACGTGAGGCTGGGCAATTTTTTTTTTTTTTTTTTTTAAAGAGGTTTATTTGGCTCACAGTTCTGCAGGCTGTACAAGAATCACGGCATTAGCATCTGCTTCTGGTGAGGGCCTCAGGAAACTTCCATTCGTGGTGCAAGGCAGAGAGGAGGAGTGAGAGAGGAAGGGGTGCCAGGCTCTTCTCAACAGAAGAAGGGCACCAAGCCATTCATGGGGGATCCACCCCCGTGAGCCAAACACCTCCCGCCAGGCCCTACCTCCCACACTGGGGATCAAATTTCAATATGAGATTGGAGGGGCCAAACATCGAAACTGTATCAGATGGTTATGAGGCATCTGAAAGTTAACACACCTGAAGAGTACATCTTGATCTCCACCTCCCAAACATGGCCTTCCTCAGCTCGGTAAATGGCGACTCCATTCTCGCAGTCATTTGGCCCACACCTAGGAGTCTCTCACATTCCACATGTCATTGGTGAGTGCCGTCAGCCCTGCCTCTGAGATATTGCCAGAATTTGCCCACTTCCGGTCACTGCTGTCTCTACCGCGCTAGCCCAAGCCAGTGTCACCTGGTGGCTGCACCGTTGCCACGGCCTTCTCACTGCTCTTCCTGTTTCTTCCTCTGCCCTTCTGAAGCCTATTCTGCACATAGCCAGAGTGGTCCTTTAAAAATCTTTTATTGTGGTAAAACACATATAACATGAAATTTACCATTTTTAAGTACATAATTCATTGGCACTAAGTACATTCACAATGTTGTACAAGCACCACCACTGAACTTTTATTTCCAGAACCTTTCGTCATCCAGAGTATTCTTTTTAAAACATAGGTCCAAGCACATCGCTGCTGTGCCCGCAAACATCCAGTGGCTTCCCGTCTCGCTCAGCAAAGGACCAAGTGTGGGAGTCCTTCCTGTGGCCCGCAGAGCCTTTTCTGCTGTCCTCTCTGAACATTCTCTTCACTCACTTCACTTGGTCACTGGCTTCCTTGCTGTCCCTTTAACAAGTGGTCCTGCTCCTGCTTCAGGCTCTTAGCATGCATGTCCCCCTTTGCTGGAATGCCTGCTCCCAGACAACCACGTTGTGTCCTCACTCTATGCCTCTCTCTACTCAGACATCGCCTCGTTAGAGCGCCAGCTGAAATGGCATTCCTCTCATCCCTGTTTTGTCCCTCATGGCACTTATCACCACCTGCCATAGACAAGTACATCTTCCCCACGAAAATGTGTGAGCGCCTTGAGAACAAGGACCCACCTGTTTTGATAACTGCAGTTATTGTCCTCTAAAACAGCGCCTAGCCCAGAGTGGGTACACGATAAATATTTGCTGAATGAAGAAAGTATCTTAGTTCGTGATAGGTATTCAAATTCTAATTGATCCAAAGTAAATGCATTGAAAACTTTAAAAACCAGTTTTATTGAAATATAATTAACACACCGTAATATTTACCCCTGGACACTAATTTTATGTTGTTGTTAAGGCAGGTATTGGAAGCAGGTGTAAGCTATTGATGGAAGCAGCCTGGAGGTACCCTTATTCTTTTTATAACAGAATTCTGCAATTCGCTGAAAAGGTCAACATTTGTTAGGACTTGGAAACAGAAGAGCCTTAAGACCTAACTCTGTGTGTGTGTGCGCATGCGTGTGCGTGCGCGTTTTTGTGTGTGTGTGTGTGTGTGTGCGTGTGTGTGTGTGATGCTAACACTGACAAGCATCTTTATTTCACAGCTGCACTAACGCATTTGCTTAACTTCTTGGTGGGAGTAAGACATATTCACATACTTCTAAAATGTAGTGCTTTTTTCTTAAACACTATATTTGGAGACTATAATTTTAATGAAGTTATATCTACATAACAGAGCACCTATCTGGATTGCTTTATTATGCCAGTGGATAAAAAGTGCATCCTGTTTTGGCTCTAGGAAGCACTGAGATACAAGGAGGCACTTTTCTTTATCACTGAAGCATCTATTAGATATCTACCCTGCCTGTGGTATGTCCACTCCTCTGGATCTCTAGGGCAGGCAATTAAAACAAGGCTTCAGTGACAGAGGCACAGCACAGTGGCCGAGGAGATTTGACTGGTGGATCTAAAGTCATTGCCGGCTCAGCTGGGGAGGGGCTGCTTTCCCACACAATTTTTCCCACCTCCACTTAAGGGAGAGGAGGTGAAGAAACAGAGGAAGAGTAGAAGAAACCTTTCACATGAACATGTCTCCTTTTGAAAATAAAATTAGAAAACAAGACAAACCCCACGACTTCCTGTGACTACAGTTTAATATTCCAGATTACAGTGTACTAAATTCAGTCACGACTGATCAGTCCTTTTTGCTGTACCTCCTAGCAAAACTCTCTGAAAGCTGGCTATTGTGGTTACCCACAGAAACCTTTAATTTATGAGGTATTTTTCAGAGAGATCGTGATTCAGTTGTTTCCTACAAATCATAGCAAATCATCTTTCAGGTAAGTTGAAAAAAATAAATCATCAGAAGAATGTTTACAGCAATCCAGAAAATTATTAAAATCTACTAGTAGCTGTATCTGTGATTACATAATAAAAAAACAAAATGCTGGTTTGGACTCCCTCCTGCGGGATATTCCTAGAAAATGACCACTAATGACTCAGTAGCTGTAGCCAGCAAAGCAAGTGTCCTTGTTAGTCCAAGTAAACACGAGTAGGAAGACAGTATAAATGATATTGTCGTGTCTCTCTGTATTCCTGTTTCTCTAGCGGGGTGGAGAATTGACAAGTATTGGTGACAGAATTAAAGCTTGTACTACTTTTTCCTGTTCATTAAAGAATCTATTTCAAAATTTTAAGGACGACATCTCAATATGATAGGTTATGGAGAATTAGAGCTTTCACGCTTTTTTGATTTTTCTCTTTGGTTGATTACAGAGAGAACTGGTTGAGGGTCACAGTCTTCGTTTGGTATCCACTTGCAAAGAGATTATACTTACCTCCAGCTCCGCAGGGCCATGCACCACGTGACCCCTGTGGGATACATGCGAATGGTGCCCCCTTAGGGTTGTCACGGTGGCCACCTACATGCAAAACTTAACGTGTGTCCGAGGCAAACATTTTCATTAACTAGAAATAAAATCCATGGTCAACATGTATTTTATCTTTTTTTTTTTTTTAGTCTAAAGAAAGTTCTGAACAGAATATCAAGTAAGGTTACATCACAAAAACTTTAAATGTATTTACAGAGTGAATAAGTTACACAGATAAACTTTGAATATGTTTCTGATGTGCAACAAGGTCACATGCACACAGCTGACACTTGACAGCATTAAGTTTAAGGAGAGAACTTAAGAATGGCCCTTTACATATATATTACAAATAAAATATGACATTTCTTAGAAACAAAGTGACAACTCATATTTTACCTTTATGATTCTACTTCTGGCTATCCAAATGGATATTATAGTAAAATATGCATGCGTGACAGGTGAAGAGACTTGGAATTTATATTGTGGATAATTTTTCTCTACAAAATGGCAAAGTTAATTAAAATTAACACTCATCCTTCTGTAGTATAAATATGCTCAAAAAAGCAACCTTCTAGTAAAAAGCAGCCAAGATCCTTAAAAAGAGTCTATCTGGACCATTTTTGGTGCAAAGAGATCCAGGGCCTTCAGAAACAGTAGCCTAGCAACATAAGAAAGGTATTTCATAGCAGCTCCTTTTAGATACAGTAATTGTATTCAAATTACAGTGTACATTAAATTGTAGTCCATTTACAATTCCCTTTTCACATATACAGGCTGTCAGCTTCTGACCATCTTACAATTTTCAGTGGCCAGCTTCATTCTGCCTGCCTCTTTCCTAGCCCACCAAAGAAAGGAAAAAAAAAAAAAAGAAAAAAGGAAGAAGAAAGGGAAAGAATGTACAAGTTTTAGAATATAAAATTATTTTTAGTGAAGAAAACATTGCACTTTTGCCAATCTAAAATTGTTTCTAGAAAGGAAGGTACTGTTCAGTGTCGTCGGCTTTGGTATGCAATGGAAGTCACTTCTTCAGTAGTGAGTTGCGTATGCTGAATAAAACGATAACACGTTTGTGCCACGCAGCATGGCGGATGGAGTCTGTCCCAGGATGCTCTAAGCTACCTTGGTTCTTATGGTATTGCTACACGTTGGAAGTTCTGCCATCTTCTTTAGAAAAAGCCCTACAGGTAACAAGAGGGAGAACAGTCTGTCCAAGCCTTTTGAAGGCTGAGAAGACACTGAATGACGTCGCCCCAGCATGGCAGCACTGCCAGCTTGGAACCCATGGGGGACGGGAGGCTCCTGTCAGAGACTAGTGCCAGAAACGCTGGAGTCTGGAAGAAAAGTCGTGAGGACTCGGTAACTCTGGGCCCTGCGGATCATGTCCCGGATCTCCATGTTCAGCTCCATCAGCTTGGTACAGATCTCGGTCAGGCTCTGGTTGGACCCCACCAGTGCATAAGTACCCGTCTGTCCCAGAGTTTGGTGACGGAAGTAAATATTCAGTAGTGTCTGGACCTCATCATCAGAACTGCTTCCAAAGATGTCATTGGGCCACAGACTTCTGCAGTCAAAAAGAATAGCATAGATGAGAGGCACTATTGGTCACAAAGTTGGGACATTATGAATCTTCCTTAGTATAAGAATATTACTTTTTTTTTAAAAAGGCTTTATTGAGATATAATTCTCATACCATATAATTCACCCATCTAAAGTACACAATTCAGTGGGTTTTAGTATATTCGGAGTTGTGCAAACATCACATAATCCATTTTAGAATACTGAATATTTATTTTTGATGAAATATCGAAAGTATAAAAATACCAGAATGGAATCTGAGACCCTTAAACATTTATCTTATTTGCTGTGGCATCCTGGTTCCAATGAATGTGACTACAACACCAAAATGGCAGGGGGACCAAAAAGGATACATTTAAGTGTTAGTTAAAAATTATATAAAGGTACACTTTGAAGTGCTTCAGTATTTTGTCATTTTGGGGATGACAAGTGACTAGAACCAATGCCAGTACTCTATGTTTTTGAGACGGGGTCTCACTAGATCACTCAGGCTGGTCTTGTACTCCTGGCCTGAAGTGGTTCTCCTGCCTCAGCCTCTCGAGTAGCGGGGATCACAGGTGTCTTAGCGACTAGGTGTGCAGTTTCTGTACCCACTTCTAAAAGAAATAGTGGAGTCACCTGCATTCCCTGATTTGCCGCAAAGCTTTGCCAAGTTCGTTGTTCTTCAGGCACTCCAGCATGGACTGGATGGCTGCTTCGGTGGACGTGAAGGACGGCTCAGACCACGCGCCCTCTGCGTAAAGAGGGTCCGCTGCGATGGCCGCGGTGGCTTCCTTCAGGTGTTTCTTTAGGTCACTCAGTTCCCGGGACATATTCAGCAGCTGTTTAAAACATCTTTTTTTATATTGTATTTAGGAGGAGGGGAATTTTACATCCCCAAAGGAAAGAAATTTGATCATACGGGTCTGGTTAAGCACAAGCTTAAATACCTTGGTCAATTCAAATAGGACAGATGACACCGTACTCCATGGTACGTGTCGGGGATTGTGGGTTGTATCATTGCATCGAGTCACTTTGGGCCAACAGATGGGATGCTCTCCTTACATAAAAGATTAAGACTTCATTTAAAAGGCAGAGGGAAAATTCAGAAGAGAACAGAGTCGAGTAGGTCTGGGTTCAAAGGCCGACTGTGTGGTATACTATGGGAACACAGACAGGGTAACGGACTCTCATGTGCTTCAGCTTTCTCACCTGTGAGACTGAAGATATTACCCACCTCACAGGGTTATTTTAAAGATTAAATTAAATAATGCATATAAAATGTTTAGGACAGTTTGATGTATAAGTGCTCAATAAATGTAATTATGAACATGGACTCTGTTCAAATAATAAGTTTTTCTCACTGTTGGTTCTATGCCATGGGGGAAAAGACGGAAGACAATTTTGAGACGAAGGAGGAATAATAAAGTAATGTTAGTGCGAATGCTACAGAGGAAGAGATATTTACCATCAAGGTTACTAGGATCAAAAATCCAGAGTGTTAAAAAAGTAAATCATAAGAGAAACCCTATATCACTTCTAAGTGCCCCAAAATATACTCTGGAAGACAGCTGTTCTGCAATTTGATCTCAAGAGCATTTAAAATAATGACATGCAATTAAAAAGTTTTTTCCTTTTGTAATGCAAGCTGATGAGCTGATGATGCCTGTTTACTTTGGAAAGGTATTTATTCAACACTTTTACCTTTCCTCTTCATTCCCAGCATTTGTACTCATTGTACAAATTATTAAACTGAAGCTGTGAGGGACTATTTTTCTTCACACAGATACCTGTTAAATACAGCTATACCTACTCTAGAGCTAGCTTGAAAATTTACCGAGATAATCTTTTAAAACAAGATATTAGAGTATCTTGATTTTGTATATAATTTTAAGTTTCAAAGTGAGTTTCTCAATTATTTTAAACCTGGGTAAGTTTTAAACATTGTGTGTGTATTATATACACACAATTTAACATTAGTTAAAACACATATAGTATTTAAATACTATGTGTGCCCATATATGTATACACAAGCAAACCTTTGGGATGTTGTGGGTTTGGTTTGAGACTGCTGCAATAAAGCGAATATTAGAATAAAGTGATTATCAATAATAGCAATAAAGTGAGTCACACAATTTTTTTGATTTTCCAGTGCACATAAAAGTTATGCTTATACTATACTGTGGTCTAAGTAGCATTATGTCTAAAAAACAACACGTGTATCTTAACTAAAAAATACTTATTGCTAAAAAATGCTAACGATCACCTGAGCCTTTAGTGATACCCTTGTTGCTAGTGGAGGGTCTTGCCTCGATGTAGGTGGCTGCTGACTGATCAGGGTGCTGGTTGCTGAAGGTTGGGGTGGCTGTGACAATTTCTTAAAATGAGACACAATGATGTTTGCCTCATGGATTGACTTTTCCTTTCATGGACAGATTTCTCTGTAGCATGTGATGCTGTTTGACAGCATTTCACCGCAGCAGACCTTTCAAAATTGGAATCAATCCTCTCAAACTCTACTATTGCATTATCAACTAAGTTTATGTAATTCTCTAAATCTTTTGTTGTCATTTTAACAATGTTCACAGCATCTTCACCAGGAGTAGATACCACCTCAAGAAACTACTTGCTTTGCTCATCTATAAGAAGCAACTTCTCATCCATTCAAGTTTTATCGTGAGATTGCAGCAATTTAGTTATGTCTTCAGAATTCACTTCTAATTCTAGTTCTCTTGCTGTTTCCACCACATCTTCAGCGACTTTCTCCACGGAGGTCTTGAACCCCTTAAAGTGACTCATGAGGGTTGGAATCCACTTCCTCTAAACTCCTGTTAATGTTGATATTTCCACCTCCTTTCATCAATCATAAATGTTCTTAATGGCATTTAGAACAGTGAATCCTTTCCACAAGATTTTCAATTTATTTTGTCCAGATCTATAAGAGGAATCTCTGTCTATGGCACTACAACCTTACGAACTGTATTCTTTTTTTTTTTTTATTTCAGCATATTATGGGGGTACAGATATTTAGGTTATGTATGTTGCCCTTGCCCCCGCTTCAAACTGTATTCTTAAATAATAAGACATGAAAGTAGAAATTACATCATGATCCAGGGGCTGCAGAATCGATGTTGTGTTAGCAGAATGAAATCCAACATTGATCTCCTTGTACATCTCTGTCAGAGCTTTCGGTGTCTAGGTGCATTGTTAATGAGCAGTATTTTGAAAGGAAACTTTTTTCTGAGCAATAGGTCTTAAAATATTCAGTAAACCACACCATAAAAAGATGTGCTGTCATTCAGGCTTTGTTGTTCCATTTATAGCGCACAGGTAGATTTAGCATAATTCTTAAGGGCCCTAGCATTATGGAATGCTAAATGAGCACCAGCTTCAACGTCAAGTCACCAGCTGCATTGCCCCCTAACAAGAGAGCCAGCCTGTCCTTTGAAGCTTTGAAGTCAGGCATTGACTTCTCCTCTCTTGCAATGAAAGTCCTACATGGTATCTTCTTCCAGTAGAAGCCTGTTTCCTTACATTGAAAATCTGTTGTTTAGTGTAGCCACCTTCATCAATGATCTTAGTAGATCTTCTGTATAATTTGCTGTAGCTTCTCCATCAGCACTTTGCTTCGCATTGCACTTTTCTGTTCTGGAGATGGCTTCTTTCCTTAAACCTCATGAACCAACCTCTGCTAGCTTAAGACTTTTCTTCTGCAGCTTCCTTGCCTCTCTCAGCCTTCACAGAATTGAAGAGAGTTAGGGCCTTGCTCTGGATTAGGCTTTGGCTTAGGGAATGTTGTGGCTGGTTTGATCTTCCATCCAGACCACTGAAACTTTCTCCATATCAGGATTAAGGCAGTTTCTCTTTCTTATCATGCATGTGTTCACTGGAGTAGCATTTAATTTCCTTCAAGGACTTTTCCTTTGAATTCACAACTTGGCTAACTGTTTGGCACAAGAAGCCTGGCTTTTGGCCTATCTCAGCTTTCAACATGCCTTCCTCACTAAGCTTAATCATTTCTATCTTTTGATTTAAATTGAGAGACGTGACTCTTCCTTTTTCTTGAAGATTTGGCCATTATAGGGTTCTTAATTGGCCTAATTTCAATATTGTTATGTCTTAGGGACTAGGGAGGCCCAAGAAGAGGGAGAGAGACTGGGGAATAGCCAGTCAGTGAAGCAGTCAGAACATTTATAGATTAAGTTCGCCTTCTTATACGGGTGTGGTTTGTGGTGCCCCAAAACAGTTACACTAGGATGGGTATATGCGTACACAAAGAGTGCGATGCGCACCATCCGAGTGATGGATGCACTTGAAATTCGGACTTGGGGGGGGCAAGGGCAACATACGTAACCTAAACATCTGTACCCCCATAATATCCTGAAATTAAAACAAAACAAAACAATTACACTAGTAATATCAAAGATCACAAATCATCCTAACAGATATAATAATAATGAAAAAGTTCGAAGTACTGTGAGAACTACCAAAATGTGACACAGAGGACATGAAGTGCTATCCTGGAAAAATGGCACCAATAGACTTGCTGGATGCAAGGTTGCTATAAACCTTCAGTTTGTAAAAAACGCAGTATCTGCAAAGCGCAATGAAGCAAAGAGCAAGAAAATGAGGTATGCCTGTATATACAATATTTATAACTTATATATGGTGTTTAAAACTTCCCTAGACTTAACGATAATGGAGAAGTTCACTAGATTTAAAATAATTACATATATGATACATATGTATACACATACATACATGGTATGTAATACATAATTTGCTACTCTAACGTGAAACTCCACTTGCTTTTTTAATATAGAAAATGACATGTGAGTTGCATTTGCGTGTCCTCTATTGCTTGAGCAAAGATGACTCTAGGGATCCTGTTAGTAGTTGCTCAGATTAAGAATAAACTTTATCTTGACCATGTGATAAGTAACAAGTATCAACTGTTCTCTATTTTATCTGATAACTTCTAATTCTAGAGGGAAACTGGTTTGTGAAAAGCTCCCCACAAAGAAGTCTGACTCATGCCTCACTTGAAATGAGCATCTGAAAGTATACTTAAAAGTTATACAGTTTTTTTTCTTTTTTCAAAGTGAGTAGTACATGGCAAAATGGTTGTCATTCTCCCTCTCTCGTGGTGCGCCCCCTTCTACCTGCTCTGAGGCTATGTGGTTGCTCAGGCTTTGTCCTCATCTCTCTGCTCTCACTGGGATGGTTTCACTGACGCCTGCTTGTTCATGACCATGACCACATCTGCGCCCTTAGTCCAGATCTCTCCCCTGACCTCAGATCCTCACATCCAACCACCTGCATGAGGTCAGTCATGGTGAAGCCTGACTCAGGCACCGGCCAGCAGGCAGGAGGCTTGACCACTGGGAGGTACCTTGCCTCAGTCCTTCCTTTTATATCCCTGTCTCAGGTGTGGTCACCTGGTTCATCTGAGATGGAACTAGAGTGTCATCTTCCTCCCTCTCTCGCCGCCCCCATCAGTTGCATGGTCTTTTGTCCTGACCATGTCTCACATTTCCCTCCTCCTCTCCATACCCAGCACTTCTGTCTTGATTCAGACTCTCTTCTCCTGTCAGATTTCAGCAGGCTCATAACTGGTCTCCCAGTTTCCAGTCTAGCTGTCATCAAGTACCCGCTCCGCATAGCTGCCTTAGAGATCTAACTAAAATACTTCCACAATGCTGCCCTCCCCTCTCTCTTACTTGTCTTATTTCATCATTCCTTTTTGGTTTGCATTTTTATATTCTAGCAATAGTAAACTGTGTGTAGTTCCTTTCTCCTTACCACCAGGTTTGTGGTCATGCTGTCTATTCTTATTAGAATGCTCCTGAGTAGCCCTGCTTCATCTGCCTAACTCCCACTTGTCCTTTAAGAGTGCACTGGGTGTGACTTCCTCCAGAAAGCTCTCCAGTTTCAACTTTTCTCACCTGCAGGCAAATTAGGTGCTCAGCTCTGTGCTTCCATAACAGCAGTGCACCCCACCGCCATTTCACTTACACTTACAGTGGTATTTCTTCACGTGCAGAAAAATTTTGGCTCCCTCAGCAGTAACATGTAACATGTTTAAATTACTTTACTTTTTACATTTAAAAATATTAAAGCATCCTGATGCCAAGCAGGACAGGGAAACTGAAGAGAACCAAACACACCAGATAGACATTTCCTCCTTACCTCAACGCAAGGGCAAGTACAAGAAGCTAAATGTAAGGAAGAAAAATCACAACAGAAGGAAATTCTTCGAATAAGGATGCCCGGCCCCGGGGCCAGGGTCAGGGAGATTCTAGTGAGGCAGTGAGGGCGTACACAAGCAAGGGGTGTGCTCTCGCTCTTACGCTTGTCCTCCAATTTTGAGGCACCTCACTTTCCTCACCTGGTCCTGACCCTGCTTTTGAAAATGAGAATAGAAAGAAATCCAAGACACATTTATTTCAGACTTGTGCTTGAGGAAAATAATTATGCGGGGATAAAATCACTTGAGGTCGGGACGTGTGTGGACTCACCTCTGGCGTGGAGCTAACTTCGTGCACCTGGCCGATGAGCTTACAGTAGGACTGAAAAAGCAATAGCAGCTGGAAGTGCAGCTTATATAACCTCTGACACAGTTCCAATTGCTAAAGAGAGAATTTGCATGGGAAGAAATAGTTATTAAGGATCATTCTTGCATAACTAGTGAAATCTCAGTGGAGACAAACAGTTTTTTCAATTAAGAAAACATAACTAGCTGTTACCATTCCAAATAAAACAGAAAAACAAATCCTGTCAATAGATATCAGTGAGAAATCCACGGTATAATACAGAATATTATATTCTATTATAATGGAAGACGACTCACTAGAGAATAACAGCTATAAAGGGACTGAGTAAACTGCCAAATTTCCATTATATTTGCCCATTAAATGCCTACAAATTATAGCTGAGTGGCTGTCTTAATTTTTAGAAGCTATACATTTTTTTTAAAAACAGAGTTTCTTTTTATTAAAGGTATATTTGAAAGGGAAAACATTAAGTAGTTCTGGGTGTTAAACTTGTAAATTCAGTACACGCCTGGGCTTGGGAGATTACTTCTGTGACAGTTTTGGCTGCCGTTGAGGGGTGCAGACACTCATCCTAAAGTGTGTGTAAACACAACAGTCACACTATCCTCGAGGATACTGTATCAGTTCTACTGATGATGCTTCTACTTTGTGCACAATAAATATTTGTTGAGCTAAAGAGCTACAAAAAGGGGCCAAACATACTTAGAAAAAAGGAGAAATTATGAAAACATTCAAAACTTTCTGTGGAAGAACATTAGGAAGTCATCATACAAAATGGTCCTTGAGCCCCTATAGATACCTTTGGAATTGAAAATGTTTTTATGATACAGCTTATGTATACTATGAGGAAAAACATCATGAATAATTCCAATGCCAATGATCATACTAGTCTTTGAACTGTGTCCTCTACACTTGGACTATTTTCTTCCAAGAATGGATTAGCTCCTAAGTAGCGGGTGGGATTCTGTGAAGGGAAAAGAACAGCTTTCACTAGATAGAATTTCATGGCCAGCGATCACCAGTGAAAGTGGGTTAAATGTGTGGTTAGACTAAACACCGTTCAGTTTTCCAGTGGGGTAGGATAAATAGGCCTTTCTTTTACTAAGGACTGTGAACAACTCAGGTCAGAATTGAGAGCTTCTGAGATGACTTAAAATTGTTCCTCCACATAAACTTAAGGAGAGAAATCACAAGAACTTAAATTTAGGTTTTAGGAAGAATATTCTATTGATTATTGTTAACAGACTTTTGATCGTAATTCTTAAAAGTTACTAAAATTCATGCTAAGACTCCCCTGAATGATGACATTTCCTTTCCGCCCCCTCCCTGCTCCTTAGGGGGAAAACCATTCTGCTTAGATTTATTGATCTCTCAATTCTAGTAACCAGCCTAAGTTTAAAGAAGTAGCTTCAATCTCAAACTGGATGTTTGGTTGTTTTAGTAAAACATTTTATTTTACGGTCATTTAAACTTTTCTTTTGGAAACCTTTTAAAATCTGGTATAAAGATAACTACCAGAGACTCACAAATAAAGTATTGTTTAAAAACAATGTTACCTTCACAATTTAGGGTGAAACCTAGCTATGAAAACTTTGACTTTCCTAAGTGCCAAATAATGGTAGTTATTACTCAGAATATTCCACTGACAGTATGAGAATTCATAGCAATGTAGGTTTCTATGTTGGGGCAAAAGCAGCCCAGAATGCTACTAATAAACTGCCATGTCTCAATCTACCAAATAAAATAAAATTAAATGAAAAAGGGAAAACATGCTAAGAGATATAACAGTAACGGTAAAAATAAGGTTTGTTATGGGTCCATGCCTAAATGGACAAAGAGTATGAAAGAAAGTTAACTTACTGCAAGAGATTCCATTTGCTACACAGCAAGCATGGCACAGGAAACAAAGGAAAGGAAAGAAAGTACAGGGTCAGTGTCTGCATGCAACAGAAAGCACGGCCCTCTTCCAAGAGCAGAACCGTCAGCAGTATTAGCATTGCTCGCCCAGACTTGATAAATGGTTGCAAATGTCGTACCCATTCAACATGCACAGCGTTCCAGTTAAAAACAAGCTCTAATGGGAAACATATCATTGAAAAAACATAATTTTTAATCTTTCAGGTTCTCTGGTTAGTTGGTTTAGATTGTGTTAGTCTTAGAGACCAGAAATCAAAACTTTTATTGCTTGAAGATTTTAGTGTATAAATGTGCATAGTATGTGAGCGCAGTGAAACTGGGAGGAGGCCAGATGAGTAATTTGAAGAACAATAGCCCCAAACAAATTATACTATTGCTTTATACTAATTAAGGCAGAGTCTTCGGTGTGTTCAGTTGCATATCTACTAAACTATGACCATCCAATTAATGTTGAATAGAATTACAATCTAAGTGGCATTTTCATTAGTTGGATTGCCTTCCACAATGGGAATATTTTATAGGACTGCTATAATTTGTAATCTCAAAGGACTAAACATTATAGACCCTCAAACGAGTATGAGATATAAGTAATTGTCTTGCATTTTATTTTTTATAATAATTTTTCTCCAACAGACAATTTCTAAAAGTAATCTGGAACTGATCGTTAGTCTAAAATAATATAAATTTGTAACTGGGCCATGTTCAATGATATGAATAGCTACCATTTTTTGATGTCACCATATCATAACCATAGAATTGGTTTAATGAAAGTTTGGGTATGTGGGAAGAGATAACTACAAATTGGCAGAATATTTTAAAAAGGATCAATGTGACCATTCCTAATTTTGGGTTAGTATATCTGGTTCTGAATTTTCAAAATATTTAAGGACTTTTCTAACAGTCTCTAATCTTTGACCACAAAAACCCCTTATTCTAAAGATATTTCAAAAAAATCTCTGGGTTATCATCAGTTTAATACATTTTATTATAAGATACAGTGAACAAATAAAACTATCAAATTATTATCTATTAGTATCTACAAATGTAATTAAAGGATCACCACCAACAACCCCCATCCCATCCTCCAAGGGTCTCTTCTTCCCTCACCTAACGCTAATATCATGGGGGGTTGGCACACTGATGACTACTGTATTATGTTTACTGAGTAGTTTTTTGGACCCTGGCCATAAATATCATTTGAAGTTTTAAAAGATAAACACCTTTAAGCCTGTGATGTAGACTGTACAGCTTGATGTATTTACTATTTTCAAGAAAACTTTATGTCTAGAGGTTTCTATATCCAAACTTGATGCACCAAAATACAATGTCATGTCAGATAGGCACACAGGGCCAGTTTTAAGTGTACATAGACACAGAACTTGCACCACAAAGACTTTTTGGACAGCATCAAATATGACTGAAATGTTTAGTATGCAGTTTAGCAAGTAGCTGCTCCTACCATGGAATTTACTTTTCAGGAGTGTGGAATGAAGCAAGTGTTGAGTAAATTACATGGTCTTGTGTGAAGAAAACTGCTATCTTTTTATTGTTTTCCAAAACAAGGTTGTAATTCAAGGAGGTCTTCAAATCAGTTAAAGTAAAATCTTCCCTGTTCAATACAGGCAAATGAAACTTTTCAACCAACTCCGGCTCGGTGCCAAGGAATTTCTTTGTCAATGAATCCCTCCCACTCAGCTCTCAAGGCACAAAATAGTGTGGTTCTTGGGAGATGGCCAACTGTGACAAATACCAGTTCTCAGAATCCTTCCTAAACTCTCCTTTTTAGGTAGGCTAGTTCAAGCTCCCTTGATATTTATTATCTCAGAGTCCTTTCCTAGGCCACAGGCTAGGAACTAGTTTGCATTTAGAGTTCCAAAAAGATAGTGAAAAATGCCTTTCTAGGGCGTTCATTTTATGGAAAATGTTAAAACGTTTCCCACCCCTGCACCCCGCCACCGTGCTAATGCTTTCCTGTATCTGAGTTCTAAAAATAATCCCTTGAGAAGTCTTTATAAACTTATGTGTTTCGGTGACTTTAGGTTCTTTTGAACATGTGAACTTTTTTTTTTTCCTTTTTTCTTTTTAAGAAACAGGATTTCTCTCTGTCACTCAGTCTGGAGTGCAGTAGCCCAATCATACCTCACTGCAGCCTCAAACTCCTGGGCTCAAGCGATCCTCCCTGCTCAGCCTTCTGTGTAGCTGGGACTACAGGAACGCGCCACCACCCCTGTCTAATTTTTACAATTTTTTTGGAGAGACAGAGTCTCGCTATGATATTACCCAGGCTGCTCTCAATCTCCTGGCCTCAAGTGAGGCCTCAGCCTCCCAAAGTGCTGGGATTATAGGCATGAGCCACTGTGCCTGGCTGGGAACTGATGTTTTATATGGTCACAAGGATATTCTTCAAGCCCTGTACCTGCTCTCCTGATAGGGCTTGATTTACAAATTGGATTTAGAGGTATGTTTTCTCAAAATGAGGGAAAAAAGATCAAGAAACTAAGATGTTAAGAATTGATCATAAACAACTGAGGAACAGGCAGTTTAAGAAGCCCAGAATAATCTAACTCTTGCTGACTAACAGTAGCATAGCCACATCTGTTTCTCTGTATTCTCACAAGGGTTCCATGCTTATGACATAACCAGTCAGTGAAAAATTTAAGACATTTGACATGACAGAAGATGAACCACAGTGTACTATATTAGCTATTATTTTCATCATATTTAATCTCTGCAAGTCATGGGTTTAAACTAAATGGGATAAGATTTCGATACCCTAGCCTATTGATGAACTCTCCTAAGCAGGTGGGAACAGTATGTACTCACCTGTTGCTAAACCATTTGGGTCTGGCACATTGATGACTATTGTATTATCTTTGCTGAGTAGTTTTTTGGACCTTGGTCATAAATATCTTTCAAATCTTTGAAAGATAAATACCTCTAAGCCTATGATACAGATTATATACCCTAAGGTATTTAGTATTTTCAAGAAATCTGTAAACTAACTTCAGACATTTCTTTAGCCAATATGGGAAAGAGATTTACTTACAGAAGAAAAACTGATTGACTATATCTGAAGGATGATATTTAATGGATTACAACTTAACTGGAGAAAAGTCTTGTATTGTTCAACATTTAACTTGTTCAACTTCTGTAAGAAC